ATTAATCGTTCCAACACCTCTATATGGATCCGGCTAACTGTCAGAGTTGATGGCGACTACATGTTGATATATATGGTGGGAGCGCATGCAGCAGCTAGTCCAAGGCAAAATTGTGCAATCTTCAAAACATATTGTGCAAATAATTCACGTGTTTCCTCTCAACTTTGCCCGTGCAGCGGGGAAAGCTACAACTGCTTAGAGACTAAATATATGGGCTAGAGCTTTAGTTGGTAAGTAGGTACTAAATGTTGATGCATATTTCTCCGATGAAGATCAGAAGATTACTTGGGATCTTGCGGAGCAATTGCATGTGGCAGATGTAGTTTCTGCTGAAACCACTGCATTTTACATGAAGGTCTGATTATTTCCAAAGTGTTAAAACCACCGTCACCATGGGTGAGGACACATCCATTGCAAAGTCATAATGTTGAATCATTGCTTTGTCGAACGATTGCGTCGAAGAAGAGGCAAGAGCACTAAAGGATAAAACACGAAAGACATTGGTTAAAATCAACTCGAAACCACCATCACTGCCACCACCTCTGAAGTAGAGAAAAACGGGGAAAACAACAAAGAGATTGGTCAAAAACAACTCGAAACCAAGTACCCATCACAATCCCTATCTCTCGCATTACATTATTTGCCATTTGCCTCTCGTTTTCCTCTCCCCCACTTCACCCTTGCCGTTTTATTCGCCCCTCTTTCGTTCTATCTTGTGTCTCCATGTGCCTTCCTTTTGCTTGCATCTTTGCTTGCTAGAAGTTTATGGATCCTCATCCACTTGCTAATTTTTTTAAGAGATCCAATTATGTTGAACCAATTGCTAGTGAGTTGTGTGCACTAGATTATCTTTATGAGGTTTTGCTTGAAATTCGTGAATCTAAAAATTGTAATGAAGAAATTTATGAAGTGATTCACGATAGATCTTTGAATAAAAAGCATGATTGCAATGATTTTACTATTGATGTCAATTGTGCTAATAATATGCAAAACCCTAAGCTTGGGGATGCTAGTTTTGCTATGACTACTACTTGTTGCCATGATCATGATTGGGGTGATTCTTCTTTTGATCTTGAAAATTTATTTAACCCCCATGATGAATATGAGATTGATAATAGTGTGTTGCAATATTATTGAAAGTGGGTTTGGAAGAGTGTCAACTCTAGATCCCACATATTTGGAGAATGTTCAATCTTATGGTATTTTCGATAAAAGTGGGTTTGGAGAGGTCATGACTTTAGATAATGTTAATCCCACTATTTTGGAAGAGTGCCAACTATTCATGCATGTGGATCGTGTTGAAAATACTTTATGTGATAGCTATTTTGTTGAATTTGCTTATGATCCCACATGTAATTATTATGAGAGAGGAAAATATGGTTGCAGAAATTTTCATGTTACAAAATTACCTCTCGTCATGTTGAGATTGCTATCGTCTCTTTCTTCTTCCTTGCATATGCTAATTTTTGCTTGCCTTGCAAATTTGTTTGCTTATAATATGCCTATGCATAGGAAGTATGTTAGACTTAGATGTGTTTGTCACGTGTTTCATGATGCTCTCCTTGTGCTTCAATTCTTGTCTTTCATGTGAGCATCATTAAAATTATCAATGCCTAGTTAGGGGCGTTAAAAGATAGCGCTTGTTGGGAGGCAACCCAATTTTATTTTGTGTTTTTTTGTTTTTGCTTCTGTTTAGGAATAAATAATCCATCTAGCCTCTGTTTGTATGTGGTTTTATCTTTTAATTAGTGTTTGTTCCAAGTAGAACCTATAGGATAACCTACGATAATAGTTGATTTGATTCTGCTGAAAAACAGAAACTTTGCACGCACGAATATAATTTTGTTAAATCGCAGGAACGTGATTTTGCGTTGATTCTTTTTGCTGCTGTTCAATAAACAAATTTTCCAGGACTTCCTATTTTTGTAGAATTTTTAGAGTTCCAGAAGTTTGCGTTAGTTACAGATTTCTACAGACTGTTCTGATGCTTGCAAGGCACCATTTATGTACTGATTATGATCTACAAAATACATGTTAGTGCTATCTATTTTACTTTTTGTTCTGTAGCCAGACGGCTGGCTCAATTGACCTACAGTTAGCCATTTTGTAATACTTGTGGTTCAAGTCAGAGCTAGCAAACTATATTTCACTTCACTGCATGAACATTCTTTACTACAAGTATAGGTAGCTCAATCACTTTTGTTGCTAGGATTTATATTAGCTAGTTCCTTTCAGGCTAATTTTTTTTGAAGATTAATTATATCTGAATAGTCTTGGTAACTTTTGTTCCTAGGATTTTTTGGCATGAATATGTTTTTATTTTTCCAATATGGCATGGAGTGAGCTTAATAAATTCTTGATAAGTTATCTCTTTGGACAAGCTAATTGTCTGAGTTTGCATCTTCATTTTTACATAATCAGTTTGTACTGTTTTTGAAATATTCAGCAAATTTGACAGTAGGTCTGGTTTTGTTTACCTTTTGCTAATATTGTCGAAATGTTTTTTTAACTGCAGCTCTGAGTTATATCTTGATGCCGCCTCGTATATGTTTGGCTGTTTGTTGAAATGTCGTCGGTTGTTTGACTTTTTACGCTTGCAGAAACAGGCATTGGTGGTGGAGCTGGTCTTTTACACAGCACATAAGATGATTTGCCCTGTTAGATATGCATTGTGATGTACTGGTTGACCAGGTAAGCTTATCTTTTACATGAAGGTTGGGGTAGTTGAACTCTTAAGCAAAATGTATTAGTTTCCCTTTTACTGCCATTTCTCAAGTACAAGAGAAGAGTGAAATATTTTCTCTACAACTCTTTGGTTAGTTTGTTGCCCACTCATCTGGCCAGTAGCCACATCCTGTCACACTTTCATGGCAGGCTGCATATTTGATATTTTCTCGACACCCTGCTTCCTCACCCCTTCATAAGCAGCTCTCCATTCTCTTCCTCATGCCTTCGCCCACCTACCTTCTCTTCTATTTTCTGATGTTCTACACCCTCTCCAATGCATGTGCTCTTCCTTACCTTGATTTTGTTTACCTGCTCCTTAGTACTCCCCCAGTGCCATTTACTCAGGATATCTCTGAATATCTGTCTAATTTGCATATGTAACTGCCAAATTATTCATTAATTACTTGTGTGGTCCAAACTGTGTGTAGGCATGTAGCTATGCTTTGTGGGCAGTCTTATTTCTCCACATTTGTCATTTTAGATGTTCAACACTTCATATTGAACAGATGATGAAAATGGCATGGCTATATTCACCCTAAATACTGCTTTCATCATGAATTGCGTCTTCTTTGCTGCTGTACAGTGTAAAAAAGATGACATATTTGTAGATTAAAGGAAGTATATATGTACTGATAGGATGATGCACAATCATTACTTGAGGCTTCTACTGCATGTATTTTGTTAAATTTGATTTGTTATCAACTATCTAGCTCTTACATATCTGAAAAGTACGACTATCAGCCCTCATATGCCCATGATAACAAAGAATATTCGACAATGATTTGATAAGCTAGGCTGTTCAGATTCCCCTCCAATGGACTTATTTTTGACCACTAATACTTTAGCCTCCACTAAGTCCAAAAACCTGATGGTGACATTAGAATTTCTTGGCATGCCACTATTTCACAAATCGCCTATTGCTTCTTTTATGTTTGTATTGTTGGCATTGTGTTAATGTTGAGGGGATCGAAAAACGGAGCTTTTGGTACAAGTCCACAATACCGAAGCCAACGTTTACTGTTTGAGTCATACAAATATTGTGAGATATAACTTTTAACAGCTTTTACGTCAATGGCTCGTACAAATTGGTTTGACTGATGAAACTGATGTCTCCACAGGTACCTATAATTATATTCTGGTGGCTGATCTGCGGAAGTGGATTTGTTCTGCTCTAGGTCCATTCTGTATGCTGTGCACGTGGGGTCTTGTGTAGACACTAGTCAACTGTCTTGAAGACATAGTATTGATCCTGTCAGTTAATCTCGTCGATCATTTTTTATGCTCGCAGGACGTTTGGTGGCTGGCAGCCAAAGTGTCGGTTGCGTCACTGTTTGCTTATGTGCCCGTTGTGTCAGGTCGAGATTTGAAATTTAAATCACTGCTTGTGTTTTATCCCATGACGCCATTTATGGCGCGTGTGTGTACATGCGTGTTGTTGTATCCTTATTAGATAAAACTTTGTGGCGAAAAGGTATGATTGCTGCAGTGATGCTAGTATGACTTGAATTTGTATTATGATCAAGCAGGTGTCTGAAACTCTGAACCACATTGCTGTTTTAGCCGTCTGCTGCTGCATGTGCTTGTTTTTCCTAGCCCTTGATTATGATGATGCTGTTGCTGCTGCATAATATGCAACACATGATCAAAATTAATATGGATTGGAGGGAGTATTATTTATAGCTATGTTTTTATGTGAAGTCTAATTTATTCAGTTTTGGCTGGACCACTATGAATATTTAATATCCAACACATGATCAAAATAGGATGACTATACAAATTTATTATGATGAAAGCAGTGGTGGAAGTACTTGATGCTGTCCAGAGTAGCAATTGTTTTGGGTCGAAGGAAACTTAATATGCGGAGTAACGATTCTTAAACTAGTGCACTCCTTTTGCCGAATAACAAAATAATACAAACACCTTTCAAAAATGTCGTGAGGTTGATTTATGCGAGATTACACGTATCTTAACATTATATGGATAAACACAAAGGTGTATAGCTCTGTGTAGATAGAAAAGTGAAAAAAAAAACTCAGTTGCAAGTGTAATCTAATTGAGAGGCTGGCAGCAAATATATTCTCCAAAGGCTGGCAGCAAACCACGAAAGCAAATATGACATTATCCGAGTATTCGCAACACATGACAACACCTAGTGAAAGCTCAGTTCTCCATCCCATGACACGTCTCTCAACTTCATCTAGTCACACAAGGGCAAAGCCAAGACACAGATACAAACCGGCGGTAGCCACCAAGCAGCTTAAAGTGTTACGTTACTAATCGCTGTCTGAGCTCTCGCTGTCGGGATAAGGGTAGTCAATACAAGTACTACTACCGCCGCCGTATGCTTGGCTGCTCGGGTGAATCACAGGCTGGTAGTTTTTGCATCCATAGCAATGGCCTAGAACACACAACAAATAAAGAGTTAGACAAACATCGATATGTGCAAACAATATGAGATTGCGATAAGACATGTGTGAACAATTGCACCTGATGCAAACCTCATGAACAATAAGAAAACATGGGAATAATAATCGGGAAAGACGTAATAGGAACAACCGTCAAGAACGTACCTGCGTCATTTTCCCCAACTATACAGCACATGATCACATCATTCTCGCTCCGAAAATCAAGGTTAACTTCGGAGAAGAATAGCTTGGTACTGTTGGCATCAGCAGAAAGCTGGTCCTCAGGCTGCTTAGCTGTGAAGTTATAATGGGCCCCAGCCCCTCCAAACTCGGAAAATATAGATATCACTTTTACCTCCACCAGCTCAAACTGAAAATAAAATAAAATGGACAGACACGTTTAAAATGGATAATCAGGCAAAAATCCATCCCAATTGCTAGAACCTCGCATATACGGAGTTAGAGAGAAAGAAAGAGAGAGGAAGACCTTGGTGTTGTTTGCTCTGTTGTATTTACGCAGGGCCACCTCCGCATGGTAGCGTGCAGCCTTTTGTTTGGCCGCGACTCTTCTTTCACGGCGAGCGTTCCTCACCTCCAGGGGTTTCCTCTGCTTCATTACAACTGGCCTTCCAAGGGAATTCAGGTCACCACGGTAAGTCGACTTCGGGAGTTCAGGGAAGGGGAACCGAAACCTCCAAGCATGTTCCTTCATGTTGATACCTTCAGGAGTGCTCCTCTCCTTGGACATCCAACCAGCTCGACTCCTGACTCATTAGTGTGAACAGATTGCTATGCCATAAGAAAAAGAACAAATCACATGCATTGTGCCGTAATGCATGAAATGTAAGTGTAGCATTTACCCAATTGCTGCATGCAGAGTTCTTCAAACATGTTTACAAACTTGTCGAGTTTGTTTGGAATTAAAATTTGACACGATTAACCCAGTCGCTTTTATTTATGGTGAAGGTATATACATGTAAAGTTCTTGAAACATGATTAAAACTTGCCGAGTATGTTTGGAATTAAAATTTGACATGATGAATTGGACAGCTGCCAGGTGTGGATACCCGATAAAAACAGCTGAATGACAGAAACGGCGTGAGAACATGGCATACCACAATGAGAGTAAAACATGAGGTTCTGATATCGTCATTTGGAACTAGTAGCTGAGTGTTTCAGCACAATTCTAAGCCTGTCATCGATGCAGTTTGCAGTGTAGAATGGTTTTTAGAAGGAACAAAATTCAGCTAAACATATGGGTTACGGGAGCAATTGCGTTAACCATTTTCCAGGGAAAACTGTTTGGAATATAAACAATAATGGACCACTTAATACTGGGAACAGAGGATTTGGGGTATCAATCTTGCAATGACATTTCAGAATGCTGAATGAAGATGCACAATGGTGTTGAACAGAGATCAATCGAAAGAAAGAAGTAAAGAGGCTATGTGTTTTAAAATTTTAATTCGCATACCTCGCTTTTGAAGCGGCACATGAGACGGCAACTTGATGGTGGTGTTGCTTTGTCTCCTCTGCCTTGGCATTCAAATTCTCTTTAAACCTAAAGCAGGCATATGAATTAAACATAATATAGTAAAAGGAAATTGAATTGACATATTCTATAGATATGATTATTCTAATTTCAGTAAATTTTTGATCCAGATAATGTTTTCCAACCGATAGAGTTGCTGTGCTTTTCAGTACAATAATTAGCCTATCACTGATGCACCATATGCAGTTTGATTTTTATTTTTTGAAGAACAAAGTTCGGCTAACCATTTGGGAACGGAAGCAATTACAGTGCCCATTAATTTTCCAGGAAAAATATAGTTTGGAATATAAACAAAAATGGACAGCTTAACACCAGGAACCAGACTATTGAAGTTATTGACCTGACAGATTAATTTGGGTTGTCGATCCGCAATGACATTTCAAAATTGCAAATGAGGATGCACAGTAGTGTTGGGCAGAGCAACTAAAAATAGAAAAAGGCGAACAGGTTAAGAGTTTTAGTTACCTTGCATACCTCCCCTTTGAAGCGGCGCGTGAGACTGCAACCGGAGAATGATGGTGCGAATTATCCTTGCACCTGAACCAGAAGAACAGAATGTATGATTTAAGCAGAATTACAGTTAAAGTAAGCTGAGTCGAATCGAATCGTCTAGTCTGTGGCGCACCCCCCCTGCTTGCGACGGCTAAGGCATGTTGGGACCGCGTGGCGGCGCCGGAGAAGGAGAGGACTGAGTAGAGAAAAATTGCAGAGTAGAGGCTTACAGATGATCGTCGGTGCGGTCGCCGTCGCCGTGGTCGTCTGCCATGATCGCCAGACCGGCTACGCTGCTGGATCAACGATCGATGATTAATGAACCCAGCGATTCTGCTTCGACCCGGACTCGGCTTTCCTTCAAAACGTACGAATCCAACCTGACTCGGCCCGCGTCTCGGACGGCCGGATCCTCAAGAAGAACGGCCGACGGCGACAAGCTGGGATGGACTACCTACGATCACGGCCCCGGCTATGATAGCGAGGCGTCCAAGCTCCGTCCTGAGACTGCCACAGACAGCCGATGCGGCTGCCCGCTCTGCTTGCGGTTCAGCCAGAAGTCGGGAGATTTGTACGTAGCTAACAGCATCTCCAACAGGCGCGTCAAAAGACACACCCGCGCGGTAAAATCGCGTTTTAGTGCGCGTCCCCCGATTTCGCGCGCTCCATCGATGGCGAGAAATTACCGCACGCGGAAAGCGTTAGCGCGCGCGGGAGAAAGCAGCAGCTGGCGCAGTAGATTTGGCGCGCCGCTTCGTGCGCGCCTATAAAATCCGGCGCTCGCCACGCGCTCAGCACATTGCCACGCGCCCTCCTCCTCGCCACCTCGCCGCTCTTTCTCGCTGCTTTCCCCGCTAGCACCGCGCCACCATGCCGCCGCGCCGCCAGGGTTCTTCGGGCTACCGCAGCGTCCGCGAGCGCCCCTCGGGCTGGTATTCCGCCGAGATCCGGTCCGGCGACGTCCGGCTTGGCCTCGGCTCGTTCCGGAGCGCGCACGAGGCGGCCCGCGCGTATGAAGCGGCGGCGTGGCGCTTGGACCGGCCCCGGTCGCAGATGAACTTCCTCACGCGCGAGCAGGCGCAACGCCTCGCCCGTCCACCTCGTCTCATCACCGACCAAGACCGTGCGGACCACGTGCGGCAGCAGCGCCGCCTCCTCATTGCCGAGGAGGACGAGCGAGCCATGGCGGAGTGGCGCCGTCGCCACCCGGAGGACGTCGTCGTCGATCTTCTCCCCCAACAATCTGCGTTGGGAAGACATATGACTTGATACCTCGGACAACACCACCGAGAATGATGACGGCGGCTGGGAGTCACCGTAGTTTGTCTCGTTGCACCGTAGTTTTTTTATCTAGTTGCACCGTAGTTCTATCTATCTATACTTTCGAACGATGTAAAATACCTTTGTATCTTTTTTTATCTATGCTATGATGAACTATATGTATCGTTTTTATCTATGCTAGAACTATGTATCGTTTTATCTATGCAAAGTTAATTAAAAAAAATTGTAGCATGAGCGCGCGCTGCATTTTAGCGCGCCTGCTGGAGCTGTGCGTGCTGCATTTTAGCGCGATCGCTGGAGCCAGCGCTGCGCGCCGCGCCAAACCTGACGAAGGGCGCGCCGTAAAGCATATTTTAGCGCGCCGCGCGTTCAGCGCCTGTTGGAGATGCTCTAACGGGTACAAGGAGCTAACGGATACAAGGGGCTCATGCGGGTCAGGCCAGGTGGCGTGGAGACCACCGTGCTGGTTAACCAGGTTGATGGTATTCCTCTCCGCTTCACCAATGGGGTCAACGTCGAACACCGGTCAGGTCTGTTGTACTGACAGCTCGATGAACTTTCAAAGGCCGCAACATGAGATGGTCACCAGGACACGGGACTTGATGGGCCGCCTCATGATGTACGATCCACGGACATCGGATGTCACCGCGCTCCAAGCGGGGATGATGTACCCAAATGGCGTCGCACTCAATGCCGACCGGACGCACCTCGTGGGCACGTCTACCGGCCCGTGCAAGCTGCTGAGGAACTGAATCAAAGGGGTCAACGCAGGCACATCGTCTGAGCCTCTTGTCGACCTGTCGGGTTGCACAGATAATGTGAGGCCCAACAGGAAAGGAGGTTACTGGATGGCGTTGCACCATGAGAAGAATGAGCTACCTTTGATCATGATAGTCATCTTATCGCTGTAAGGGTAATTGTCGATGGGAAGATAGTCGAGGAGATGAGACGACCAAAGAGCGTGAGGCCACCAAGATAATGAAGAGTGACAATGGCAAACTCTACTCGGCTTCGATGGAGCTTCCTACGTCGGTGTAGTTAAATACAAGTAGAGAACAGTAGACATATGATGCATTTTGTTTCTTATTCTTATGACTAAATGTAATTATCGAATTTGTTTTCCGGTGGGAAGACCTACTGTAATGCACATTTTTTGTTGGCAAATCATCCGTTGTTTCCTTCATTTTAACATGCAAAAATCTGTTCTTTTTTTATCACGCTCTTGTTACCATGTTACCCGATGAGTCTTTCAGTCGTAAAGCAAACAAAATTGCTTGATGTAACTATTTATAGGAGAAGTACCATGTATTCATTCATAAAAGCAAGAACATACAGATACATGGCTTCTCTCTGGAACAGCCCGGAAAGACAACACACAAGGAAATATACAAGAAAATCCCTAAAAATAAATTGTTGAAAACTGATCTTTTGGGTTCCTGCATCCACCATCGTCATGGCCAAAGAATCCAGCCGTCGTCATCACGAAAGCATTCGCCAGAGGGGAGAAACACAAGCCTCCAACTTACCAAGATCCAAGGTAGTAGTGCCATAGCAGCCAAGCTGCGTTATGAGCCTATGACCAGGCTCCGTCACAAGTGACATCGGACATGTCGATGTGGGTCGCCGTCCAAAATAATACCTCGCACATCTTGGATCGCAGTTTTGAAGTTCTAAACTAGCAGAGCCGCCGAACAATTCAAAACCGGCAACCATCTTCCACGCCAGATATCCCTATGGACCATCCCTTGGACAAGACCGACACCGCAGTGTCGGCCAACTCCAAGACACATACTTTTGGCTCTGTGACTATGCTGGAGACGCAGCCGACGCGAGGCGGACGAAGCCGAAGAAACAAGAACCAGAGCAAGAACTCCACCACCGTCTTGGAGAACTCGCTCGAACACAAATCCGTGGCTCCTCGATAATACCAAAGATTAATCTATATATACCAACTAATAAAGAAGATATGTATCCTTGCCGGTCATGTTATTTTGCAGAACCCCTTAATGTTTCTGGTAATCAATCTGTAATCTAGTTTTAAGTCAGATTTTCGCTTTTAGACCCTGGTGTTTCTGGTAATCAACCTGTAGGCCAGTTTGAGTCGGATATTTTCTTTTGCAGGAAACCCCTAATAATTGGGTTAATCAACTCGCAGTATATATGAAATGCTTAGAAAAACCATATCTTTTAAACCCTAACTCCAAATTTAACATGTTACATATAGAATTTGATTAGAGAAATGTGTAGAATCTAAATATGATATTCTTTTTGCCTGTTAACCATTTAAGAAATGCTATTTAGGGTGAAACCTTAATCAATAGCACATGATCGGTGTTTCTTTCGTACTAGTGCCAGTCCGGATTGGAAATGAACACCTCAACAAGACCAGGATTGT